TATAAGACATATAATTCTACGACACTAGTTATTGTGATCGTGGATCGAGACGTCCTTTGACTCTAACTTTGAGAGACAAAGTGGGGGTCTAACAAATATCTGAAGTTAATGGGCGTCGAAGGAGCGGAGTGATTTAAGTCCGTCGGGAAGAGATGGCTTATAGAGCCAGAGTCGGGAATGATATCATTCCAAGGTATCGAGTGCAGCTCAGAAGAATGCAATACGAAAGTAGATTTTTGGGTTTTGGATTACGACTCCCAGCTCGGCTACCTCTACCTGATGAGTCCAAACCAGGAGGAAACCGTCGATCGTGGAGTGCAGGAATGGGAGAGAGCCACATCGAAACTCTCCACAATACTAACGTATTTTACAACATGAAGATCACTGGCATCGTATGGAGCAGGCGATTGTCCCTGCAGCAAGAGACTTGAAAGTCACACGCCATGATAAGCCACCTGGAAAGCATGAAAACCCGGCCCAACAAAAAAGATGTAGCAATGGCTGACTGTTTGAGAGAAACTGACCAATGAGTTGTAGATAGACAAGAGGCCACTTAGTCGCTGCAAACAAAGCCGACCACATGTGGACGAGCGGGCGACAGAAATCAAGCTTGGTTCGGCTTGGAGAGAACAAAGCACAAGAACAGCGACGAAGCAAATTGGCTGGAGCAGCCACTAGCGGAAAAAGCGTGCACGATGGCGAGACGGACAAAGTAGAACTGATGAGTCCAAGAATGAGTTAAGACGGACTATCAGACGGAGTAGAAGTGGGTTGAAACGAATAGAACGTCCGGACCGATGAACATAAGTGGGAAAATACGAAAAAGGTGAACTAATCAATGCAAAACCGTCGCAATCAAATAGCACCTCTCATTTATATGAAGTATAAATGATGCTTTGCTCTACGAATACTGGATTTTACTCGTTGCTCAGAATTCATTATGACCTTCGCAGGGCTACTGGATAACTTTCTTCATGCTAAGAAGGGCGAAAACAAGCGCACGACCTGAATCGATTTTTCGAGTTACAAGATATAGATACAAATCAGTCGGTAAAATTCAGATTAGGGCTTGTTGGTTGGGCAGCGTGGCAATAGAACGTGAAGGATTTTCTGTTTAACTATTCTTTCCATGACGCGATTGGCATGTGACTGATTGGGTAGTAGAAGGGTAGAAGGGCAGAAGGACAAATTGAGCGGGCTGATCGTCTTTCCAATCGTGCACAGATCAAGGTCGATGCTGGATAGCATATATTCTCTGAGTCTAAGTAAGTAAGCTTGGGGTAGCATATTAACGTCACTAAAGGGCTCGCAAAATTGTCTGTTCACGATCCTGCATAAATTCACCTAGTCAGCAAACACTGTTTTGTCATGCAGCCCTAATGGATGTCGCATTAGGGGTATTCCTGTGCTTCAGCAAAGTAGTAGGTGCCTTGGACCGATTTGCGCATGTAAGCGCAACTATCCCTTGCACTAGCTTCGCCGAACATGTTTTCCTTTTTTACTGCATTATGAGTTATTTATGCGTATACGAAGAAGAAAATCCCCGTCTTATTGTACCAGGACCTTACTTTTTGAGTTTGGCAGACAATATCTTAGGAAGAGTTAGCGTTGGTTGAAAATTCGGTATACGTCCACGTTTCTGATGTGAGTAATTCAGGGTGATACGCACTGTTATTATCTCGCTCCCATACCACAACATTAATATCATTTGCTAGGATCTGTTCCTATTCATCGATCGGAGGAACACGGAGAAGCTATCCCAGTAAATGCTCTGCATTGCCCAAATAAGCAAATGCTTGTCCTTCAAAGGAGAGTTACATTACCCAATGGTCACTACCTTGGATGTGGTCCAGCACAGTCGCGAATGAGTGGGACATGCCCGTTGAGAAAAATGATAATGGGGACTGAACGCATCAACCCTTACGAACAGCCGATGCTACAGATCCTAATCGGTTTGATGGCCGTTGCGCGCGAAATCCTATGGCCTGACGATGAAGATGTCCGAAACAATTGCCTCGCTCGGGGCAACGATTCCAATTTCGGTTATCTGTACCAGAGGAGCCAAACATAAGATGAAACTGGCCGTGTGGTGCAGTGCGATTCAGAATCAAAAGCATCGAACCAATTGTCTACACTGACCGATTGCCCCCAACCTTTTCTGAAACTAACGGCTATCAACAACAGATGTTCGATAAGAATAGTAACTGAGATAATTCCTCCGACTCAGCTCATCAGGTCACTGGCAGTTGTATTTTGTCATATCTGTCGGACACTAGGAGTATTTATGTGCTTTTCCAACATACCTATAGCTGTGAATCACATAGGAACCATGCACAATGACTTATAACGGGCAAGAAAGCGAATGCTTGTTATGTCCGGTAGGATGACCGGAGTGCACATGTCATGAGTGTACTCGTTTAAAAAAAAGTTGGTATTGGGACAAAGTGACTTGAGTCCATTGACAACACGAATAGGCTGTACCAAAACAGCCTACGGATGGTTTGGGCGCTGAGGCGCAGCTTCAGCACTTGGTCCGAAGAGATTGCTACTCGCCTCTTCGTCTCGATAATACGACCAATTCTAGAGTACGGTTCTCCCGCGTATTGTCCCATCACTCTGGGCGAGGTAGAAAAGCTTGAACGGGTGCAACATGTAGCCACCAGGCTGATTCCCAGCTTACGAGGTATGCCACACGAAGACCGATGTAAGAAACTAGGGCTGTACACCCTAGCTTATCGTCGGCTGAGGGTTGACCTCATCATGACGCACCGGATATTACATCTGAGTGATTACCCCATCTTGAGACAACTGCTTCATCTGCGCACACCAAGCTGCACGCGAGGACACCGGTATAAACTTATCGTACCGAAGTTGAAGCGGGTCGCTCACCAACTCTGTTTCGGACGAAGAGTGGTGAATGTTTGGAACGACCTGCCGCAGCATATAGTAGAGGCGAACTCAGTGTCCGAATTTAAGAAGCTCCTAGACAAACATTTTGCAGAGGCAAAATATAGAGAACGTAACGATAAATAAGGAGTATATGTCCAAAGGCGACGAATGATGCAGCTACACAGAGAAAACTCTACTCGCTGCTTCGAACCAGTACTCAGTTAGAAGACAGTTTCACGTTCTAGATACCAGAAGGAATAGTTTTGTCGCCAATCAAGTCGGCCATAGTTTAAGGACAGATTGAGCTGGTGGGCTGTCATGTTCGTGTTGTGGCTGAACTGAGACAGATCGCAACAGGTGTGATTGGGGTTTGCCAGTATTTTGTACACCATGATAAGTTTTCCTTACCAGTGCCGATATTTACGCTGTACAAGTCGAGGGCTCTCAGTACGTTGGTAGGGAAGGTGAAACGTTCTTCTAATAAGTTCCGTTGCCCTGCGTTGTGACGTTTTATAAAAGTGTATCAGTGTCTTGCATGCACCAAGGTCGCCAGGCTTTGATCGCGTATTCCACGTGAGACGTCACGTAGGCGTTCAACACTTGCGGGAAGACAGATTGTTCGAACTTCCCGGACGCAATTCGTTAGAGGCCAATTTGTTGACTGCCTCTTCTTAAGGCCATGTTTCGAGCAGCCAAAGTTATCCTGCACGAATATCCCGAGGTCTTTTACTTGTGTAGCATGTCGCAACTGCTGTTACCTCAGTCGATATTCAGTAGTACGTTGATGGGATATGCCCAGAACTTTGCTTTTCGCTAAGTTGATCCGGATCCGGTCTTCGAATGACCATGTATAGGACTTGTCGAGATCTCACTGCGGTGTCATGTGGTCGTCCACTGTCTTGATGTTATGCCAGATCTTGACATTGTTTGCAAATAGTAAGAAGTTCGACTGGAGTACCCTAGTCAAATCATTGATAGATACTAGGAACAAGCGTAGTCCCAGTACCGATCCTTGTAGCACACCACGCTGGAATTCGATTGGGTCGAAAATGGAGCTGCGGGTTCCCACATTCAGTTGACGTTGATTGAGGAAATTGCTTATCCAACCCAACACGGGGTCACCGATTTCATAGCTCCGAAGCATGTGGAGAGGCATGCGGTGGTCCAGGTGGTCAAATACTTTAGAGAAGTTTGGGTATACGAGGTCTACTCCTACTCTGGCATAGACTGGCTTAGTCCAACTTGCTCGGGCTAGTAGCACGTTAGTAGCGCAGAGCCGATTGCGGCTGAATCCGTGCTACTGTGACACTATGGTGTGGTGACTTAAGGTATCATATAAGCGCCTCCGCAATAACACCTCCATACCTTTGGATAGCACCGGAAGGAGAGTTATTAGAAGGTAGTTCGAGGGCTGCGCACGATTCGTACTCTTGTAAATAGGAGTGACTATTCCATATTTGCAAATCCAGGGAACCCACATTTCCTCAAGAATAAGTTGACAAAACCGAGCTAGTGGTTTGGCAATATGCATGGCTGCTGTCTTTGTTGCCTTCAGTCTGATATCGTCCACACCAGGAAAGCTGTGCACGCGCAAGGACACTAGTCTTTTCGCCATATTTGCTGGCTCCTAAGGACAAAGCTCCAGGTTCGAACTCTATCGCTTCATGAAACTAGCTGAACATGTTGGCCAGTTTCACAATGGATACAGAAGTTTGAAGATCCACCAAGGTGTCCGCAATACAAGTTGAGTTTTATGATGCTATTTAATTCTGTGCAAATAGGTCCGTTAAAATAACAGTGCGGAACGGCCTAAGCGGGAGGCTCAACGCGACAACTGTAGCGGAATTGAGATATTAACAACGTAATATATTATAACAATGGATTTTATTGGCCTTTACATCTTCCGTTCATCCCTTTGTTTGACTGGTGGTTAATCCCGATCACTTCGCTTTCCTGGTGAACTTTGCGCTATTGTGAGTCCTGGTCTCCTCTGTGATTAGTATTTGAATAGCACCACAGACCGGCAACCGTTACAGGTTTCGGACTAGTTTGAAACGTTTTAATCAAATTTGAAGACCAACTACAATGAAGCAATATTCTTTTTCCCACAGCCGCGTCGCAGAATGTCACCGGTTTCACCTTGGCAGAAGCAATGATCCAGTTGGAGAAGCGGAACGCTGCGTCTCATCTACAAACACCAACAAGCCGGTGGCCATAGTCTTGCACCAACTCGACTGCATAACCTCGCAACAGTTTATAAACATGCTGCGGTCTTCAACTGACCAAATGGCCGCCTCTTTCAACGGAGAAGGGTAAGCAGTGAACCGTTGCCTGAGATGCTTTTCATACTATGTTCTATCGTATCTGTGGCATTTGGTGGATCGCAAACGGTGACGAGCGTATGCATTTGTCTTTTGATGTTGTTCCGAAGTCACAACGTAAGACTGCTGGAAAACATCCCAATAAAGAGTAGACACAAATGAATACCACATAGTTGCAGCGCATCCCCAACTTAAGCTGTTGGCTACTTAAAGAGTGTACCACGGCCAAGCAGATATTTGACATAATTAGCGGGCAGAAGAGAGTACACCAGGTGGGAACGTAATCGGGTGTGATTAGCCAGCAAAACCTAACCATTAACCTTCGCGCACGGACTGAATAATTCTCGAATACTCCCAATAATATAGCAAAACGATCCGATTTATCACGTTCAAGAAACAGGTAAGCTATAGATTAGTCAAATGTAGAGGCACCTGATGTGATATGGACTACCCTTAGCCGATGGAGCGGTTGAATTTTACCATGGTACGGACACAGCTGATGTAAAGGACAGACTCACACACCGTCAAGTACATGAATATGGGGTCGCCGTGCCATGGGCTCATGACTACCGCGCATGGGAACAAAAGGTGTACTCCGGCGCTCACGAAACATCACTCACACCTAACGAATTTTGGTAAAAAACCACCTGATGTCCTACTGGGCCGCTAACAGGCTTAGGCTCCCCAGAACTTGTGGGTAATATAGGTCCCATTTGCGATTGTTGGCGGGAGAGCGCATGGTGCGCTGAAGATTGTGGTGGTGAGACCCTGACAGATCGTCGATTCTCTACTGATAATGTTGTGCTGTGGGTTCATGTCCTGGACGCCTCCTCGTGATGACCGCTGGATAAGAATTGGGCTACACATTTCTTCCAGCGAAGATCCAGAACTAAATTCCGCGTGAGTCGGTTTATTGAGTCATGGCGCTCGGTCTGCTGCCTTTTGGGTGTATACTTTATCCAAGGCTTTGGTTGAGGACCCGAGTCGTTCTCCTGTCAGGCGTGGGCGCCCTGGCAGTATCCTAGTCCAACCCCCAGCCAGTAATTACGCCAATAATAATAAACGCATGCTGTATCGGCCGTCGCGCAGTGGCCTTAGGAAAAGGGTTACCTTATCCGTTGCATACAGCGGGGCGGATAAGCAAAAACATGCTACTGCTGGCGCCTTCCTGCTTTCTTCTTCCCCTGCACATACTCTCCCCGTCCCCTTTTCACTTAACCCACTACTTCCTCCAATCCAGGACGTCAACACCCATACGATTGCCCACTAAGGTAATCGTATGCATCGGCGCAGAGCGCTCAACATCGGGTGCTGGAACGTGCGCACTTTGCTCGACCGGAATACGAGCGAGCGACGTAATGCACTAGTCGCAATGGAAGTGGCGCGGTACAACGTCGATACTACAGCGCTCAGCAAAACCAGGCTCGATGAGCAACATAAGTTACATGAAGGAGGTGCTGACTATACGTGCTACTCGGTGGGCAACGCCACCTCAGCACCGGGTGAACATGGGGTTGGATTTGCAACACCAGATCGCCTAAATGTCCAGCTGATGGGTGAAGCAACAGGCATTAGCGCGCGAATGGTGATTACTCGCCTACGACTCAGAAGTGGTAGGTTTGCCACTTTTCTAAGCACGTACGGTCCGACCATGTGTTATCCTGATGACACGCGTGATCAATTCTACACTCAGTTATCCTCCGTGATACCGTCTGCGCCGACCAGCGACCGACTATTTCCGCCAAGTGATTTCAACGCGCGCGTTGGGCGTGATGCATCGGTGTGCACAGATGTTATCTGCCCGCATGGCAATGATTCAGCGAATGCGAACGGTGGCAGGCTGCTCTCAATGTGATCCACTCACGGCCTGAAGACCAGGAACACTCACTCTGCAATGAGTGCGCTTGGTATAGCAACTTGGACACACCCACGGAGTGGTCACACTCACCTGCTCGACTATATCAACGTACGTCAGCGTGACATATGTGGAATGCGCATGACACATGTACTGCTTAGAGCTGGGTGTGGCACTGATCACAAATTGGTGCTGACCAAACGGTACAAATAATTTCGTAAATCTCTGTATTGCACTCCTCCTGTGAACAGGTGTAAATTTAACATTCTCTCCCTCGATACTGTGAAGAAACATATCGAGCTGGAGAAGGCGATGGCTGCACGCCTGTGTGATGTGGAATGCATAACCACAGTGGGAGATCTGTGGCACCACATTCGTGATCAGGTGACAGCTGCTGCCGATGATACCATTGGGCGCGCAAACTGTAAGCAGCCTGATTGTTTGATGAGAACAACGCGATGATTGGCGCATTGGTGTCGGAGAAGTATGCAGCATTTGCAGCACATGTGGTAGACACAGTGACTTGGGGAAGAAGAGTCAGTTTCGCAAAGTTCGATGCGGCTAACTCGAGAGTTCCGTCGCATTAAAAATTGATGGTAGACGAAGAAGGCGAAGCAGATGGAATGCTTCGCCGAAAGCTGCCAATACAATGAATTCTTTGACTCCTTGAAGGCAGTGTGTGGACTGAGTTTGGAGCCGCTGAGGACGCTGATCGATGGTAGCTCAGGTGCTGCGTGCACACAGATTGCAGACATAATGCAGATCTAGCGAAATCACCTTGACTGCCTCTTGAACAAACGTTCAGGGATCGACTGGCCTACTTTGAACAGACTGAAGCATCATGATGTGAAGGCGAGTCAGGCGGAAACGCCACGCGGACACGCACTTGCTCAGCTGCGAAACAGCAAATGTGCTGGTGCCGACGGGATCCAGCCTGAAGTATTGAAACACGGTGGACCTGCGTCGGTAACTGAGCTGCACCACTTGTTGCAACGGGTGTGGATTGAGGAGGAAGTGTCTCAAGAGCAGAAGGATGCACTTGTGCTACAATTGTACAAGGGCAAATGGAGCGGGCAATGTTGCACGAATTATCGTGGCATCAACTTACTGAGTTGTGTTGGCAAGGGGTTTGCCCGAATCCTGATCAACCGCCTCGTCACAGGGTTGTGGAACTGAAGGTGGCGGAAAACCAATGTAGATTCACTTCGAGTGTTTGCGGCTCGTCAGTTGCAGGAGAAGTGTAGAGAGCGACACCAGCCATTGTACTCGCTATCTGTTGATTTCACCAAAGCACTTGATACGGTGAACCGCGAGGCATTGTGGCTGGTGTTGGGTAAGTTTGGTTGGCCACCTAAATTTGTAAGTTTGATTGAATATCTGCACAGGGGTATGTGGGGGAATGTGCAGCTGAGTGGACAGACCTCGAAAGACTTTGCAGTTGTCACTGGTATGAAGCAATTGTGTGTCTTAGCTCCTGCCCTGTTTAATATATATCTTCATACCATGATGTCTTGTGCTTTTGATGCCACTTGGGCTTACGGTGGTCCTATGGAGCACCGTATTGATGGTGGGTTGCTGGACATCCGTCGTTTCGGTGCGAGAACCCTAGTCTGTGACAACTATCAGTATGTTGCTGTTTGCTGACGACGGTGCGTTGTTTGCAAACAGGGCGGATGCGTTGCAGCACATAACTAGTGCTCTGGCTTCGACAGCGGTCAAATTCAGGCTCACCACCAACACAAGCAAAACTGTTTGTCTATTTCAGTCTTCACCGGAGGTGCAATCTGCAATATTCCCGCAAATCAGCATTGGTGACGAAGTATTGGAAACCACCTCCCGCTTCCTTAAGAGTGTGGTTTCGACTGACCAGCAGATACACAGTGAGCTGCGTATCCGAGTATCGAAGGCAGCGGCGGCATTCGGGAAGCTTGAGTACCGAGTGTGGAACAACCAGCTTTCTGTCGGCACGAACTTGATGGTTTACAATTCTAAGGTGATGTCCATTCTATACGGCAGCTAAACGTGGACGATGTACCGGCGAGATGTGAGATTTGTTGAGCGGTTTCACCAACAGTATTTGCGACGGATTCTGTGCATCCGTTTGTGCGATAGAGTTGCAGACACGGAGGTGTTGCGCCGAAGTGGAACGAAAGCAGTGGACTGCATACTTTTGCTGAGACACTTGAGGTGGCTCGGTCATGTGCGCCGTATGGATTCGTCGCGGATACCGAAGCAGTTATTATATGGCCAACTGAGTGCAGGGAAGCGTGAAGTTACGTTACTAGGATATGAATGAACAATGAACTATAAATTTATACGGGTTAAGAAGCGTTGCTCTACAAGTCCCGTTGGATAGTTTGTGAGGATATCGAAATAATAATAATAATGATCATAATAATAATAATAATAGTAAAACAGTTAGTAGTGAGATTGCGCGTCGCAAACCAAGACACATGGTGGGTGCTGCAAATACCCGAAAAAACAGTTAGTACTTTAAATATGAAAATAAGGACTTATCGTTTGCTCCGCCATAGTCCTGCAATCCGCTTAGCTTCACAGCACCCACAGTTAAATACTTCCATGATAAACGCTAGGTGTAGAATGGAGACGCAGCGCTAAGTGACAAAGTGGGTGGGTGTGTCATCCAACCGTCTTTTAAATACTGTTAGCGTCAGTGCAGAGACGACCGATTAGGAGAGAGTATTTCACGGGTGACAGACACTAATGGAATAGAAATTTCTGCGGCACTCTAGGCGGCTATACTGTACAGCGAGTTTCAATGAGTGACGCCTCAGGGTTGCATTGGTGCTGAGTCGCAGTAAAGGGCGGCACACATGATGTGGGTCTCGCAGAATCAGGTATGCCATAATCAGGTCGCCTCTTAGTCTGCGATAGGTTCCACTGAATACCCCCAATCGTTGCAGCCTCACCTGGTAGAAAAGATTGCGCATTTCAATTATGTTCTTAGGTGTACGATGTTGTGGCTGCTCCAGTGCATTAAGGTCGTGTTTCAGCCATGGATGCCAGGCTTGAATCGCGTATTCAACATGGGAGCGGACATACGCACTGATCCTTTGTTGTAATATGGAGCTTTTTATTTGCCCAAACACTCGTCGCAACAGCCCGACGTGTTGCT